TTTTAAATGCAAATGGGATACCCGCACTCGGGGTACTGGATGTTGTTGTGTTTTACGCTCCGATACGTGTAACATCTTCCACAAAAAACTGTATATTGTGATTGTTGAGCAGTGCAAGTGTTTCCATGTTTTTGTTGTGGATGCCTCTGATGATGGCTCTTTGTGAGCCGAAACATGTAAGGCAAATGTGAGAAAATGGTGACAAGAATATATATTGTTACACTCGACGGAGGTTCTATTGATAATTGGTGTTCATTACTGTGTTCACAAGAGCCCTCCACTGGTCCCTATCCTGAGCCAGATCAATCCAATCAGTGCTATCCTATCCTATCTCTCTAAGATCCATTTTAATATTTCCCACCCACCTACACCTTGGTCTTCCCAGTTGTCTAATTTCCTTCTGGCTTTCTCACCAATATCCTATACGCATTCCTTGTCTCCCCCATTCGTGCTACATGTCCTGCCCACCTCATCCTCCTTGACTTGATCATTCTAATTATACTTGGAGAAGAGTACAAGTTATGAAGCTCCTCATTATGCAGTTTTCTCCAACCTCCTGTCACTTCATCTCTCTTTGGTTCAAATATTCTCCTCAACACCCTGTTCTCAAACACTCTCATGCATGTGTACATTATGGCAGTATTTAACGGTATAAAAGTTATGTGAATGGTTTTGAGGAAAGCATTTGTTTGGTAATTCTGCCATACTGGTCACTGTAGTTGTTTAACTCCATGAAGCAGGGTCCTTGGAAGAGGTAATAGTTGCTCAGCTAGTCAAGAGGTTTCCTGTCTTTTATGGCACCTGTAGGCTCATGGACATGTTTACAGGAGCCAGCCAATGGTCTCCAACTTCCCATCCTATTTCTGGAAGATCCATTTTAATATTAGCCTCCTGTTTATGCCAGGGTCTTTCATATCTGTGAAAAAAAAAATAATTATAGATATTTTTCTTGTGATCATTAACAATTCTTCATCTTCTGACCTCTCTTGATTTGTTCAGATCTTTTCCAGCCTCATATTTTGCTGAAGGAAAGTTTCAGATGTCTGATATTGTCCACCATGAAATGAGTCACTGAAAATTCTGTGTGAAGTGACCATACTCATGAGATTGAAACTGTGGGGAGGCAGCTGTCTTAAGTATCCATCTGAACTTCCCTGTGAATTTCTCTCACACATTCCACCAGACTTTCTGAAAGGAATCACTTTACATTTTATTTATTTATTTATTATTTATTATTTATTTTTATTTATTACATTTATTTATTTAAGCAGCAAGCAGGACATCGAATGTTTGTGTATCATGCAGTTGCAAATTCCAGAAGTAAGTTAGTGGTGCAAGTATAAAAAATAGTTTATCTTCATATTGTATAGAAGAGGTTTATAAGAATGGAACATTCAACACTTTTCATGCCAAGTTTTTACCACAGAAACTTTTTATGTTTATATCAGTGGTACTGGTGAAAATCATGCAATTTCTTAAGAAGTGGTTTAAATGTTATTTTTGTTATTGGTAGTATTGTTCGTAAAATAAAAGTAGAATAGCATTTTTAATCAAGATACTTTGTGCATATCATAAGGAAGGTAAAATCTGTTATTTTTGCTTTAATTATTTCATATAATTATACACATGTCCTATTGAAACTGAATTACTGATGCAAGTGTAAATGAAAATTAAATATGAAACTTATGTGTCTTCTAAAAATGTCCTGTGTTTTGCAGTGCTTTCAGGTGATAGAGTTTATATTACATATTGTGTACTGAAATATAATTAGCCCATGCTACCCCTAGTTTCTGTGCAGTGTATTCCAGATAGCCAAAGCCTGTATGTGATTTATCTCTAGATTTTTTATTACAGTCTTCCATACTACTTGCATTTGGACCATTAGATGTGCACTCATTACATAAACTCAGTAAGAATATCATCTTCCTGATCAAGGAGTTTGTGAACACACTGCAATTTTTCCACCGCAATGGAAATTAATTAGGGTTGACAAAACCCTTTAATCAGTGTTTTTCAGAGACAAGAGAATTGGGTTAAATGAATTGTCAAATTAAGAAAATATATTGAAGTTATCTTTGGTGTCTAAGCCATACATTATAAAAAATTATGAACATCTAGAAGTACACAGAAATTACGATAATGTTACAGACATGAAACATGAAAGTTCTCAGTCTGGTGTGTATGATGAATGGCATGCGAACGATGAGAATTTCTGCAACCAGTATGCGGTGTATTACATTTCTTATATATATATATATATATAGGTGTTTCTGTTTCAAGAAAAAAGTACAGTCAGCTCTTGATTATCCGGGATAATGGTGGGGATGGAAATCACTATTAATCGAAAACCTGGTTAAGACAAATTTTATTAAAAGTAGTACTGTAATACTGTACCTTCATAATACTATAGGCCTACCTGTATTTAAATTTATTCAACCTCATTTTTATGTCATCTCATGGCCTATTTAATACTTTTTTTACATTACGCTGAAGTATGAATTAGTTATTTCAATCACAGTCTTCAACAACATCCAACACTGTTTACAAGTTTTCACACTTAACACTTTAAAAAATTTAATATTGTCGTTTACTTTTTTGCGGCATTTTCCTTTTTCTGTTGAATACTTAACACAACATGCTTCCTTTTACACCCTGACATTTTGCTAACGCACTTGAAGATCGATACTAAGATACTAACTGGGGCGATGTATCTGTCATTGAAACTTTCCACAAATCCTTGAATTCTTTCACCCCTACCCTAGAACATTGTGTTAGCATAACGGGACCAAAGAATGCAGAGCTCGGTTCACACTAGTGCGAAAATAGTGTTACAACTCGCCATGTGAAACAAAAGTGAATGAATATTAAACAACATAATAAACCGGAAAAAAGCCTCAGTAGCCCCGGTTAAGCCACAAACCGGTTAATCCGCCCCCGGATAATCGAGAGATGACTGTATTTATCTTATTTACTTACAGTTACTCAGTGTGTTTCTTAAATGTGTTTCATTGTTATGCATATGGTGTTTAAGGAGTTAGTGAACATTCTGACTGAATGACGTTTTTCACTCTGATAAGGTCCAACTACTTATTCTATAAATCTTGGTAAGGACCTTCCATTTTGTTAGAACCCATCCGAAGGGATCACCTAGCACCATACATAACAAACATAACATATGTTATAAGATCTTCACTGAACATTTCTTAATAATTTGTATTTTATGTGTTGCAGCCCTTTGAAATATTTTCAGAAATAGATAAGGAACCACTTGGAGCAGCATCACTAGCCCAAGTTCATAAGGCAACACTTAAAGATGGAACAGTAGTGGCTGTGAAAGTGCAGCACCCTTATGTACGAGGAAATGCACTTGTTGACATGAAGACTATGGAGGTAATAACAGTGTGCAGTAAAACACGTGTGTCTGCATTGATTTGCTGTTAGGTGAGCTGCTAGTAGAGAGAGAGAGAGAGAGACTTTATTTCATATTTAATACAAACATGCATACTCATGAAGAGTAATAGGTTCTGGGATGTGATGTCGTGTAGTCCACTAAAAGTCAGCTGACATTTCAGAGGAGTATATTGCCTTCATCTTCGGCTGGCTTGCCACCTGCTTTCTTGCTGGTATATTGCTCAGCTTATTTTACCCTGAAGATGGAGGCGATATGTTCCACCGAAGGGTCGGTTGGCTTTCAATGGACTACACGGCGTCATATCCCAGAAGATAATGCTTCTCATAATCACTGCTGAGAGGACCTCAAATCCTGCATACATTGAGGACTTATATTTTTCCACCTTGTATCTTTTAGGTGGGCTAATTGTTAGCCTTCCAATCCCAAGTATCTGATATGTCATAAGGAGAATATTTGGATGATTTTCCTCAGTCCGTCAATGCAAATTTTGAGATGGTACCTTGCTTGTTTGTGGCTTAGTTTCTTTTAGCATCGTATGTAAGAATGTCATTAGGGACACTGAGCTAAACGGTATTTAAAACTAAAGTTCTTATCTCTCAGAAAATAAAGTCTGTCATTACAAAGATTGTTTAGGGAAGTAATTGCTGTTTATTCTGAGAATCGTACAATACACATAAATACACTATGCACAAAATAAAGAGTTTTCAGATGTTGGAGCAAGTGGTATATATTATCACTTGTATTAGAAACTGTAGTTTGGATTGGTGAATAGATTTATTGACCACTTACAGGTCATAACTAAAAATAATTATTACACTGTTGCTGATTTACACAATCCAAATCATTCCACCCTAAGTTTTCTAGGTATACTTTCACTAGTTGTTGCTTGGTAAGAGGTCTCAACAATGGCTATTCCTCTGCAGTGTTTTCGCTAGGTATTTCCTGGTAACGAATCTTAACAATGGAGGTTTTATAGCTTTCATTGTCTACTGTTTAACACTCCACAGCTGAACACTCAACTCAACTCAACTCAACTCAACTCAACTCAACTAGTCAGCTGAACTCCAAATTATTTTTCTGCCCCTTGTTATATAGACTTGGGTTGAACCTCATGGAAAACGTGTGTCATGTATAAGAATGTATGTTCATTAGCCCATTACCCAGTCCAGGACATGGCACAGACCACATAGAAAACTCTTCTTCCAGTACCTTTTCTATTGTGTGCACGTATCTTGGGTGTTGCATGGAAATGGGTCTGCATGTCACATTACAGATAAGATTGTGTGCTAGAGAGTTAAGAGATTCTATGTATTCTTGATTTAAAAGTTAATTCAGCTCTTAACCATTTATAATTAATTATAGCTTCACAAAAAACGCAAGTGTTTTTTCTGTGTATTGATATGAAAATTTTTCCATTAAACTGAGCAGGATGGCCTCTCAGTAACATTCTAGACTTGTATTCAGGAGGTGCTCAGTTCAGATCTCACCCTGGACATCAGCTGTCTCTACTGGGGTTTTCTCTTGGGGGGTTCTGGGGTCCATCCAGGTAAATACTGGGGTAGTTCGTCAGTTAGGCTAATTCATCATTCATCTATCATATCATTTTACACTGTTTAGTCTGTGATACTGAAAGCAATATAAAATAACACACTAAAGAAATCTTCCATCAGTGTTGGATGTCTTCTGACAAAGCCCATCTCATCTTCTGTTCTCTTAAGAGAAGCTCCTCTATATGTTTCCTTTCTTTTGTTGCTCTATTCCCTCACTTGGGCTCTTATTGTGCTTATTGTTTTCCTTGAATTGAATTGAATTTATTTACATTCTATAAATCCTAAGTAGGTTAGTACCTTTGGATACAGAACAAGTCAAAAGGTTACATACATAGGTACAGGCAATTTTAGCTTAAAAATTAATAGAACTTAATTTTACATCATTCTCTATTTACATTGAAGTATTCATCTAAAGAGTAGAAGGAATGAGCATGTAGATAATTCTTTAACTCTGATTTAAACTTTTTAGTATCATTGCCCAAGTTTTTAATACTTTGTGGCAGATTGTTGAACACTTTTATGCCAGTAAAGTAGACTCCTTTTTGATATACTGATAAAGTTGATGAGGGTAGGTGGAAGTTATATTTTTGTCTAGTATTCATGTTATAGACATCAGAATTTAATTTGAATTTATCTTTGTTGTAAACAACAAATAAGAGAAGCGATAATATGTATTGCGATTGAAGAGGTAGAATTTTTAATTTCTTAAATAATTCTCT